AAAAACTAATCACTTCTAAGTTGGGTCATAGTGCAAATGTATACCAACTTTCGTCCAAATCCATTCAGCCTTTTTCGAGAAATCTGCCTGACAAACACATACATACATACAGGTGTGAAAACATATCCTTTGCCCAACTTCGGTGGCGGAGGTAACAAGAAAAGTAAAATAAATTTGTGGTCGCTCAATATGTTGTGATTATCATTGCTAAAACCAGCAAAGTTACATAGTGACGTGGCCATCACGTGAGCAAGTGTAACTTACTTTAATGGCAGGTAACTATCTTTTTTTGGGGGGTAAGATCAACCCTAAATATCATGGTCCCAGAAAAAAAAAATTGCCGATCCAAAAATTAAAACAAAAGCTGTAACTATTCGTCGACTAACCTCTTTCTTTTTTTCGTCTGAGTCTGAATAATAGTTAGTTGCCATTTGATTTTGTTTCGACGTTTATATGTTGTTTTATTTTGTAATTTCATTATTCTGTAAAAGCAGAATAAGGACTGTATAAACATTTGTAGAGTACTTTCATTCGGTAATAACTTAAATATCTCATGAAGCATTTTGATCTCGTTCCATTTGACAGGGACAAAGTTTAGTAATTTCGCTATATTGAGTCAAGTGGCCTTTACTGCTTTATAATCATAGTCATTTGTAAAGTTTATATATTTTTCTGGGTGATTTCCGTTTGGTGACCACCAACAGATCGTTTTGAAAGTATCACCAGTAATGCAATAAAATAAAGAATTAATGATAAAACATTATATGATATTTAATTAGTGAATTCTGTGATATTAAATAATTTTATTTTTGAATAAATCTTCATATTTGTTTCTATTTCTCCATACACATTCACAAAGACAAGAGTCAAACATTTGGCGATCAGTTCCGCATTCATGTTTCGTACTGTTGATGGGCGCCAAACGGAAAAGATCCGTTTTTTCTAAATATTTTGTTTCGATTTTTATCTATTAGTTCAAATACATAATTTGTTTTTTTATTTTGATTGGCCAATAAGATGAAATAACATGCTCGTTTTTTTTTCCCTTCTTTTCCACAACTCTACTATAAACACTCATATAATACTTTATATTGACACGTTTCTACGAAAACCCTAGAATAAACAAACGTATTTCTCACACATCCATATTATGGCCAATGAATATTTGATATTTTGACATTATATAACATCTATATAGTGTACTTCATGAATAAAAATAAAAAAGTTCCTGTTTTCATTTTTTGTGCGGCTCCAAAAAGCCCCGTCTGTAAACAACGATTGTTTGGGTTTTTTTCTGCTCATCCCAAAATATAGGCTTATATTTGTAAGAAGGTATCATTCCTTGGAAAGATAATGTTTCGTATCTTATTTTTCAAGTAATTTTCCCTCTCAGACAATGGTTTTATCACTATAGCCCCCCCCCCACCCCGTTTTTTGCAATCCTTTTATGATGATACACCATCATGTGGTCTAAACAATTACCAATAAAACTCAGCTTTGAAAATAGCCACAGCCAACGATTGGATTGAAGAGATCCTAATCTATCCATGTCAATATAGAGTAAACAGTGGTTTAGCAGTCATTTGCAATGTGATTTATCGACATTTTAGCTATCTCTGATCTTCTTTTAGGTGAACAAAGAATTTTACCGTGAAATTTACGCCACTATAGAAGAAACTAAGAAGTCTAAGAATTTTATATACTTTAGTTTCTTTAAGTTCTTTTTATTCCTGAAAATGTTGTGTTAAGTTATATCTGTTTAAAAGCTGTAGGTAAATTTAGTTACCTTTTTGTTAGTTGAATATAAATTACCTCTATCAATAATACTGTTGGAAACAATCATCATACAGCGCTTGCAAGATTAACTGTGACGCCATATTGAAAGGTTAGGTTCTATAATATTTTTAATTTCACCGTGTTTTTTCATACTGTAAAAGTGGAAGTAGTGATGACCTCAATAGGTAAAATAAAATACCAAAAGAAGTATATAAACGTAAATCAAAGAAGTTGAAATTGACTGAATATAAAAAAAAATCGCCTGGGAAGATTTCAAGGAGAGTATCAAGAGAACTATTTATTTGTATACAATAGACAAACGTCTGTCTGCCACGTTCTGCATTTTCTGAACGACTAATTGTGGAATGTATGTATATATATATATATATCTTCTGAACAGCTAATTGTGGAATACATATATATATATCAAAGTGCTTATTTTCAAGAATACTTTACACATTTTTTTTTTCAATTCCGAAAATTTTATATTTATATCAACATCGATCCATCACTGTTCGTAGGAGCTGAACGGTCAATCTGAGAAAAACTCGTTAAGAACAAAGATTTTTATTTTTTGTGAGGGAATTTCATGACATTTACACTCTGATCCAAGGGATTTAGTTGACTGCACATCTTATGTTTATTCATCCCTATTTTTTAGGAAAATTAGCATTGAATTTTTTCAACGGACATCTGCCAATAGTTATCAACATTGGCTGTTGTTTTTAAAACTGTTTATTCAACATTTTGCTACAAGTTGAGACTGTTTTTAAACCTCCTTTGAACATGTCATTGCCTATATTTCCATCCAACTTCTAATTAACGCTTTACTATTGATAATTATAATAGGGCTTAAAGCAAAAGATAAAAAGGATTTTCTCATGTTGTCATCTTAGTTGTTTACGCCTTAAATAAGTTTTTACATCTCATCTCTGAGAAAAACGTTAACAATGGCACAAAATAATGGAAATAAAGTTCTTATATAATATAATTTTAGCTCTTTGTTAATGGGGCAAAACAGCTTTTACATTTTTTTCTTCCATAATCTACAATGTTAGTGTCATATAGGATTGTTTTTGTTTTTTTATATTCTATACGTCACTGTTAACAGGACATGATATAATGATGTAAAACTGAGAATGCTGCCAGATCGGATTGTAAAATGTTTACGTAAGGGCACAGTAAAATGGAACGTTTTAATGGTTATTACAACACAAGCTTAATTTTTTTTAATTATGTGTACAAGTCTAAAACGAGTAAAGAAAGCTTTTGTTAACCGCTAGGTGTCGCCACTGGTCAAAGCAGCTGAAAAACTATAAACATCTGATAGGTTAGATTGGTTGGTCTACATTAATCTATCGTTTTGAAGTCTATGTAGACATTTTTATTGTAGTATAACTGATTGAAACTGTATGTTCAAAGTTATTAAACCTAGTAACTGTCAGTTTTTTTCACTTTGTTACGCCACTAAAAAGAACATCACAATTTTTTACAGCTTGAGATTGAATAAGTGAATATATAGAAACAGAAATTTGTTACGTCGACGTATAGAGATAAAGGTCTTCTTTTCATAATTAGATATTCATTGAGTTTTCATTAAAAAACAAACCATAAAAAGTGAATTTGACTCCCAAAGTACCTTACTATTTAAAATATACTAATTCGAAAAATTTAGATACAAAATATATATTAGCAACATGCAATAGTCATTGATCATTTCTGAGCTAGGTTTGTAAAGAGTGTGGTATTTAAATAGTACAACACAGGATTCAGTATATATATCTGAACGCTTGGAACAATACTGCAGCATTTACTGTGTTCAATGTGTTACCTTCCTGTACAGTGTAGTGTCTACAATGAAGTAACCTTGGAGAGTAAAGGGTTAATCGCACTTTATATGAAAGATTTCTAAATGTTAAGTCAACAATGAGTCAGCAGATAGCACTAGACACGGGCAACATATTTAGCGCACATGCATTTTGTTCACGGCAAATTCAAAATGACTTGACAATGCAATGCTCCACGAGTAGAATTATGGTTGAAAGAATACGTCACAATCTTTTCACAGGAAGGATATTCGTAAAGTAAGACCATTATGTACAGTAGATATTAACTCCTAGTGTTCTGTAAGACAATGAACGTTTTTCAGATGGGGTAATAAGAAAAAGACTTGTTGAAACTCCATTTTTGATTTTATTTAAGGATGGAAAGTTTGGAAGAACAAAGTTATAAAACTAAGATGTGATCTTCATTAGGTTGTACTTACAACGAAATGGAACCGTTGAATTTTGTAAATGTTCAACTAATTGTTGTGTGGTAACTGTAAAAACAAAATAAACAAAGAAAAACTAAGAAGCCAAGTTGCGTTTTTGTATATTGGTCTCAAAACGAAATGTAGGCCTAGGATGTGTATGCCAAGTTAGCAAAAATGCCAGCAAAAATGAAGCACAATATCTAAATATTAACGGATCACACTTAGGTAATTTAAATGTTATGGATTGTTTGTTTGTAGTTAAGCACAAAGCTTCACAATGGGCTATCTGTGCTCTGCCCACCACGGGTATCGAAACCCAGTTTCTAGCGTTGTAAGTCCGAAGACATGTCGCTGTGCCACTGGGGAGGGGGAGGCATGTTTTGGATAAAATATAATTGAGAGTTAATAAAAGGAATATTTAATGCGACAATCCTTTCTGCGGGAAGCAGTTGCACGAAAGTTAATATGTACGTGTGCGACCATCCTCTCTGCGGGAAGCAGTTGCACGAAAGTTAATATGTACGTGATGACATTTTATTACGTACTTTCAAAATAATTTACATCTATTTAAAAAAATTAATAGCGCGTCGTAATGGATTAGGAAATCGTTTCAGCTATTTCATTTCAATAAAAAATATAAAACACACATTTTTTTTACGTAAATTGTTACACATAATCATGCATAATACTTATTTTATTTTAGATCAGAAATCAGTTGACTAATATAAAATAATACTGAGTTAAACTAAATATTTATTATCTTACCTACAGATGCCAGCACTAGCATTACTGAAAAGCGTGATTACTTTGAGTTTAAGACTGGCTGTAGGAATTACACATTATTAGAAGAATTGCCCACTTTTATTATCCAGTGAGTAAAATTTTTGTGTTGTTGACGACATCTTCTGCACGCATTACCATTAGTACCTATTTTCTTATTTTACAGCGACAGCAATCAATGAAATCATCTGTTGCATAGTTACAACAGCCACGAAATATTGATTTTCGGATAGTTACAGACACGCTGAATATAGCTGGCCGGAAGATGGCGCTCTAAAGAACCAGGGATGCTAGGGAACTGGTTACAAGCACCAACTGGGCGAGAAGGATGAGTGGGAATCTGTATTCTACCCTCATAACCATTTCCTTCATTGCTTGGCGACAATACTTTTCGTAAGCGAGAAAGACATCCACATGACGTAGCCGCATGCAGCTGGGGGAATTATTGGTGGTGGCCTCTTTGTTCGTCACTTTGGCCTTCTTCTGCTCAAGAACCGAAACTAGGTTAGTGCAGACGGCTCGGAACTCCAAGATTCCGAGGAAGAATAGGATGGCCATTATCACAGCGAACATCACTGGAGAGGACGAAGACATGTCGTCTCAAGAGAAACTACTTTTTCGAAGTCGGCGTGATGGTAAGAAAGCTACTTCAAGGTTTCTTAAAACTTCATCTCGGTAATTTTGTATTTTAGAACTTCATTTCAATCATTGAACTGCAAAAACAAAAAAAAATATTTGAGATCTGAGTTTTCGTAACGCACACCAATATTTTTCGACTTATTCAAATAATTAGACACAATTATACTTCAGAAAAGAAAACTTTTTAAATTCATTTTTGCTCTCTCAACGTTTCGCCGTTACTAGTTCATCAGGATAGCACGAATTATACTTTACTGACAGTTCTAGAAGATATAAGTTGAATGATTTCAACAAATATATTCAGATATTGAATTATATGATATAAATAATTTTTGCAAAATTGCATTTAAAGTTTGTTTCCTAATTAAACGTACATAAGAATACAAACACTTCCTGAAAATACGTGCACTGATATACATGAAACTGTGATAAATGGTGTGGATTGTTGACTATAACCTTGTTGGAAATAAAAATTAATATACCAGTATATAGGTTCAGAAGATATTGCATAGTTTAATATACTTCATTGACAAAGATATCTGTTGAACAATTCCAATGGACATACTTAGACATTTAACAGTTTGAGCTAATTTATTGCAGTTCTGAAATACATACATTTTTTCATCCGATATCTTTTAAAATTTTCAGTAAGTTATCTTATACTATGCAGTATCTGAATATATCTATTGGAATTTTCCAAATGATATCTTTCGGAATTGTCAATGGAGTATGTTAGAGTATGCAATATCTTTTGAGTCTATATATCTGATATTTCATTATTCATTTCCGATAATGTTATATACAACAATATTGTTATAATACGTCATTTATTGCAGTTTCATGTACACCTGTGCATTTTCAAGTCATGTTTGTATTCTTATATAGGTTTAATTAAGAAACCAATTGAAGTTTCGCTGTGCTGAAATACAGTAATCGTTTAATTCGTAGTGTCCCGATGAAACCATAATGGCGAAAGGTTTTAAGAACTAAAATGAAATAAGTTATATTTTCTGAAACGCAGTCATGTATAGTTATTTAGATATAATGAATGCTATAAATATTTTCTTCCAACTAGGATGGTTGTAAATACATTATTTACCGCACACAGTCATGTCTGCCTTTATAATTCTAGTATCTAAAATCCGTATATTGATTTTAACACTATATATAAATAGTTTACGTGGTTTTTGTCACGAAGTTTAGACCTATAAATAGTAACTGACTGATAAACATATTTTACTAAACATAATTTTCCTTCTGTTTTAGTGTTAACGCGAAATTACAAGTGCAATATTAATTACCAGAGCAGGTTTTTGATAACTTTTTACTTATGAAGTAAACATTTTTTAGCGAATAGAAAATATTTAACTCAGAACAACGCTTTTCAAACTAACTGAAAATACATAGAAAACAATTACCCGTTTTGTGGGATTTTGTAATAGTGCTAGATTCTGCAGTAGTGCTAGATTCATTACATTAAAAAAAGCATATCACACTATGGAAACCAAAATGTTTCATATTTTAGAGTATTAGGTAGAGGGAATTCTAGCCTCACTTCTTGGATAATGGGATGATTTTTTTTTCATATTTTTGTGGATAGGGGACTGTGTTTCGTGCGACGATCTCACCAATGTAATACTGAATTTGGTTTGCATTGCTTTGTATATTCGTGTGAGGCTATTCAAATGATATTTGCTCGAGCTGTCTTCAATTTTAGGCTGATAAACTTGGGGAAAAGCAGGTGTAAATATACATTACATAGTGCCGCGTGTAAAGATACGTTACACCGTGTAATTTATATAAAACACATTAAACCCCACGAATAGCGGATAACGCCATTTTTTGTAACAATACTCATTTTAAGTCTCTTTTAGCAATATATATATATAAGTAAATAATCTCACATTATTCCATGGGACGTTGAACTCTGTTTGAGTGCTTTAAGTCTAAATAACAGTTCGCTTGAAATAATTATATCATTACAAAAATATTATATGGCATCATATATAGCTTTAAAAAAGTGCTTAATTTACATTTCAAAACTCATTACATAAGTACTACTAAATCAAATGCTTTAATTTATAGCGTTTTAACGAGACTGGTAAATTAGAATGCCTGTGGTAATTGTATGGATAAAATATCAGTTAAATCTGTAAGATATATTTTGATATCCTAAAAGTCGATTTTCTTTTAATGTCCGTGATTTTTCATTTAAACTTTATAGAGATTTTGTCTTACTTTTCTGTGAGTTAGTGGATCACTAAATATTTATATTACACCATGCCGTGTGTATAAATACGTTACACTGTGTAATGCATATATAAACACATTAAACCATGCCATGAGTTAAACACATTACATCGTGCCGTGTGCAAAGATACTGTTACACTGTGTTATGTATATAAACACATTAAACCATTCCTTGTGTAAATACATTACACCGTGTAATATACATAAAAAATATTAAGCCATTAGATGTGTAAAAATATACGAAACCATGGCATCTAACAATTGTCAGAGCTAATTTCAAATCTTTTGTTCTTGTTTTTTAAGATAGACCCACTTTTCTGAACACGCCCGGCATGGCCAGGTGGTTAGGGCGCTCGACTCACAATCTAAGGGTCGCGGGTTCGAATCCCCGTCCCACCAAACATGCTCGCCCTTTCAGCCGTGGGGGCGTTATAATGTGACGGTCAATCCCACTATTCGTTGGTAAAAGAGTAGCTCAAGAGTTGGCGGTGGGTGGTGATGACTAGCTGCCTTCCCTCTAGTCTTACACTGCTAAATTAGGGACGGCTAGCGCAGATACCCCTCGTGTAGCTTTGCGCGAAATTCAAAAACAAACAAACAAATTTTCTGAACACGTTGTTTTTAGTGCAAGTAAGAACATAATTACAAAATTATTTTTTTTGACACTTTATGAGTACCGCGATATTTTACCAGCTCCGATCATATTCAGTTATTAAAATTAAATTATAAATTATATTAAACTAAATTAAATTAAATTAGAAATTATATTAAACTAAATTAAATTAAATTAGAAATTATATTAAACCAAATTAAATTAAATTGGAAATAAATTTCTCAGTTATTAGACGATTAAAATATTTTCATTAAGTGCTTGTGTATTTTAGTACTGGTGAGAAACAAAGAACCAAAACAAGTACATTTCAAGAAGAACGTCTAATAATATAATATAGGATGTTTTTAACTTTGAATGATTTTATCTTTCACACTATCTGGCTTTTTGTAGTGGTTGTTATGCTGTCTGCGTTAATTTTTGAAGAAGTCAACTCAAACTGAGTAATTCAACAGTAACTTTTCGAGATGTCATCGTGGTGCCGTCTAGTAGTAAAAATTGGAAATGTTCACAATGAATTATTATATATATTTTTTTGCGCTAGTTGGGTGGAGAATGACCTAATGGTTAGCTTTCCGGGCTGTGGAGCTGAAATTTCGTGGTTAGCGTTGCTTATTACCAAAATAAAATCTCACTTCACATGTTTAGAACACGACTGCGTTATAAGAGTAAAGGTCAGATCTCACTATTTGGTGTGACAAGAGTAGCGGAGGGTGCTGTTAATTAAATGCCTTCCCTCTAATTTCATAATTCAAAATTACGGATGGCTATACACAGATAGACTTTTGTGTAGTTTTGTGTGAAATTCTGAAACACACAAACACTGGAAAGCTCGTTAATGTTTTGTTTCTGTAAAGTCTCGAACCCAGTAAGTCAGGCAGTAAAATTATTCACGATATCTTTGTCTTAGAAAAATACATTCTAAAATAGCAAAATCGCATATACACATCTACTACTCAGTGGAAAATATTCGCAGTTTTTTGTTACAAATTTCTCTTTAAACAAATATCATAACCTAACAGGAATGTTGTTTCACTCGTAAACGTTCGGTAATCTCAAAAACATATAACAAAAAAAACTAATTTTAACTTTTTAAAAAATAAGACCTTGAACCGTTTTGAGCAGCTAAGTAACAACACGTTAATTAACAACTAGGAGAGCGTTATCCAACTTATCCTTTTACAATGTGTATTTCAGATGTGTTGATACAATATTCCTGTTGACGTAGATTACTGTTTGCAATTTTCATCCCCCTAGGATTTAAACGTTGTCACTATCGATAAATGTTGCCTTTATAATTGGATGTATAGATATTACTGATATAATAACACGTATAATAGAGGAAAGTCGTATGGAAAAACACCAAAGTACTACAGGTTTGTAATTTCATGTTATATCTCAAAGATTTACAAGATTTGTTATATGTTGTGAACACTGGCTAAGTATGGTTTTAATTAATTATATTTGTCATAAAACATTAGTATTAGGCCTATTATATTTTTAACACAACATTTGTTTTTCAGTCCCTTATGTTTTTTTTCAAGAAGAAGAAGAAAAATATATAATAAATTTCAACCACACTATGCCAGCCATATACTTATACACTATTATTATTATTGAGAAACTCTTAGACACTGAATGAATAATGTAGTGTTAAAATATACCAGTCCTAATACTAATGTCTTATAAGAACTATAATTAAGATTTATTTTAATTTAATAGATTAACATTCGACATTTTTCGTTTATCTCCTGTAACTCTTCGTGGGGTACAATTAGTTTCAGATGTGTTATATCACCTTATGTATTTGTAAGATCTGTGATTATTCTAATAAACGGTCAAAGCTCTTTCGTTTCTTTTGTTACTGTTAGGTTATACATTTGTATTTCTAAATAAGGATCCCAAAAACGTAAATGAAATCTCTTTTTTTTTTGCTCTTTATATCCAGCTACTAGATTCATTTTAAAAACCTGTGTATAGTGAACTGTTATTTTAAACAAAAATTCAATTTAAATATGCAAAATCTATGGAGGGAGTGAAGTGGGTGTTTCACCCCTGTAGTTAGGATGGTGGCCCTGGTCCTCTGCCCTCCCTCCCCTGGATTTTCTGAAATTGTATATCGACTTATATTATAAA